ATTGCTCATTATCAAATCTCATTACAAATGAAATTATTCAATAGAAATTATTTACTTTATGATTTGGTATCTGATGATGCTGAGAACAAAGTCAGATACAAAAATTATATTAGACAGCATTTGAAATACTGTTTTTGATTCAGTCTTTACAGAAAACTAACATGAATTCCAAATAGGAATTGACATAGGCTAGAATAGAAAAACAGCTAGGTGAAGTTAGGTTGGGTGGTTTTCTTGGTTTTTACTTGAAAAAATTTACTCTCTATTCAGTGGTTTGGCCAAGCTCCTAAAGATTGATTCTGAAAATGTGAGAGGAAAATGACATCTGAGATGACTGAAGATGAACTAAACATAAAACACCTATCTTTATAAAGAGAAAAACAAAAGGTCTGAAGACAAGACCTATACTGAGAAGAAGGATGGGAAAAGTAGTTTTTAAATTAGAAGTACCTAAGAAATGATTAACTAAATGAATTAATAGTAATACCAAACCTACTCAGTTTTCACCAGTAATGGACTAAAATCTTCATGTACAGGAGAGGTGTTAGACATCATACATTTGCAAAAGTTTTTTGAAATTAATGTTTCTAAGGCTATTCTCTTAAACAAGATCAGCCAGTAAAATCTAAGTGAAAGTCATATATAGAAAACCAGTCTAAGGAGTTAACAGTTTTTTCAGCATTGGTCTGAACAGGGGCATCAGGTTCTTCAAGATTCTCTTCAAAGAATCTAAAATTTATGAACAACTTAAATGAAGGACTTGAAAATACCCTGATAAATGTTGCTGATACTATTAAATATGGAATAGTTGCAAGTATTTCAGAGGGCCAAATAAGCATGACATATTAGAGAAGTGATAGAATAAAGAAGAGGCCACTTAACTGAAGCATGTGCAGAGTGTGAAACTTAATTAGGAGTAAACAAATTCACAATTATATGATAAGGAAGGACTGTTTGCATTCCTTTCAAATATTTAAGAGTGGTGAATCACAAATTGAGATGAATCATGTTCCTGTGGAAAAAAAAAAGAAGTATGCATAAATGTATGAAAATGCATATATCCAATGCGGGAAGTGTGAAATATTTCTTCCTGTTTCAACACCGGTAAGACATTAGTAAGAGCACTACAGCTGTGCTGTGTGGACATGAACCAGAATGCTTACAGGTCTAGAAAATCTAAAAGATTTAAGGAATACACTGAAAAACTGGACTTGCTTGGAATGCTTAAGATGGTAGGTAGAAAAGTAGATGTGGTAACGTCTGAATGTATAAAAGGTAAGGAAAAAAAATCTTTTTTCCTGTCAACTTACAGTTTAAACAAGACATAATGGGCCCAAATGGATCATATCAAAACATCACGTCAGATACCAGAAAAACATGCAAATACTGACGACAAATCACCTCTCATTTTACAGAAGTATCTAAGGACAATTCATCTATCAACAATAGTTTTCCTATATAAGGCCAAAGAGTGCACTTGCCATGACATCCTTTCAGCCATATTGTCTACGACTATATACAGATTCTTACTTCCAAACTGTAGCAGGTGAAGAATATTGAAGTGTTTATTCTTGAAAGACAATGGAAATCATCTATAGTTTTTATTTCAGTACTGTAGAAGCCTAGTCATGGTGCATGACTCTATCACAGAAACTGAGGAAAATATAGAAAATTGTGTGCCCTCAAATAAGTCAGTTTTATTAGATGGTGAACACACTACAGTTTTGTGCTTCATACTGTATGTTTCAATTGCTTTTCTTTACACATTCCTGTTGAATTTAATAATGACTCAAGAATAATGAAATACATATTTTCACCCTTACATCAAAGAGGCTTGACTTAAATCCAGTCTGTTTCAAAGTTCTGGAAATTCCTTATCACTTCTGTGTGGAGATCTGTGTCAGATGAGTTGATGCTCTCATGTTGACCTCTGGAATTTGTGTCTATATCACTGACACCTATGAAAGGATTCCCATTGTCTTGAGTAGATTTCTATGAAACTCATGAGAGAAATTCCTCCATGAAAATCTGTAAATGTTGCTGAATAATTTCCAGTTTAGAAAATAGCTAATTGAGTGCTTATAATGAGCTCAAAACTCCATAAATTCTCCAGGGTATGCACATAGCAGCAAGGTAGACGCATACCAAACTGGATCCTTGCTGCCCAAAAGGCAAAAGATCAAGAGTAGAAAATCACATAACACTTTTTAACTTCCAAACACGCAAAACATAGTGAGAATATATCCAGGATCAGCAATCATGAGAACAAATTGATAGTAGTTTAGAAGAATTCTGCTACATTTAGCTGCAGTTAATAGCATAATGTGGTGGACACAAGTTAGTTACTGTGCTTTATAATATTAATGTCATAAGATTGCTCCTCATGACTTTCTTTTGGCTGCCTCATTGAAGATGTAATAGCATAGGATATTGTGACCAAACTTTACCAGAAACATATTATTATATTTTTATATATTCTGTGAATACTTCTGTTATTTTATCCTGGGTGTTGTATTGCAGAGAAATATATCATTGTTATTCAAGTGCAAAATTGTTAAAATTTAGTAATTCAATACAAGTTTCATATTTAAACACTGTTTTTCTCCAGCTGCTCTCAGAAGTTTCACATCTGTAGTTGTCTGTTAATCCAATATGGTGTGATTGTTACAAGGATAATGTGACAAACTATAATTTAGTTTAATCCATTTCAACATATAACAAATAATAATGGCATATTTTCCATTATCAGATTCTCTTTTTATTGTTACTAGTGTTGTTAGAGATGGAACCAGCCTCATTTTATGATGAGACAATTTGGGCGCACAGATATTAATTTCTGCACTAACATTCTTCTAAGAATCTAAATTCTTCTCATCCTTTTTTGGCATGGAAAAGTCCTAAAAATATGTTACTTACATGAAAAGAAGACAGTGTTGTATTACATTTTCTTACCCTTTAATGGCTTTTCACTCACATAACCTAAAGTATTCCACTTAACACTGCTTGACTTCAGAGCACAACTACTTTAGGGGATAACCAACAGGAGAGAAGTATTGAGGACCGCTGCTCTGTATTAATTCTCTAGCAGAAAATCAAGAAAAAAAACTTTGTTTTTTCATTGTTGTGAAAATGCATAACATTATTAAGTAAAAAAATCATAATAGCTCTTGGGTGGTATGGGCTAATATACTATGGAAAATAACATAGAGCCCCTTTGCAACAATAAAGTCAGCCTTAAAAGTAGGACATGAATCTTAACTGACTCTACCTGCATATTTTCTGGATCTTTCCAGATTATTCCACGAATTTAAAGTTCATCTTATTTCCATTGAAGGACCTTGTGCTAATTCCAAGCTAACGTTACACAGAAATAACATATGGAAGTTCTGTGTAGAGTTTTCATTTATCTAACTGACCATATATTTTTCCACTTGGCAGTAGTGAGGCAGCTCCAGCTATCAGCCTTTGCTGCTACTGAATTGGATATCTCTGAGTTTGGAAACTGTTTTTCCTGCTCCCTCACAGGTAGCAGAATTGCAATGCCATGTGTAACTGTGTCTTCATTGTTGGTTCAAATCCCCTGAATTTCAAGCTTAAGAGAGGATTTGTGCAGAACTGTTCTCATATAGCTGTAAGAAAGGTAGTGGATATTCAGTATAGGTGAAGATTTTTTGGTATATATATAAACTTTTCACGGTGATTTCTCATTTAAAAAAAAAAAAACAGTGAAAGAACTTTTGCTGCATACTAAAGTCCACATGCTTTCACAGTCTGCATAAACAGCATAGTTTTCAGGGCATTTCCTGATAAAAGCGCTAAATAGCCAGCTATACTGTTGATGTGTGTTTGACATAAGGAATTTTTAAGTGAATGAAAAAACATATGAATTTTCTAGTTCTCTGCTCAGATAAAATGCATCGGACATAGTTAGGAAGAAATTGTTGCAGATTCATTTTTTTAAGTGAGCTAACTCATCAATGTTGTTGCAGGTGAGCCAATACTCTTTGTTGGCTCCATCTAGGATATCTTCCTCTAAGATTTCTCATTACTTTTGCACTTCCTGCAGTTTCCCCAGTGGTAGCTCCTTTCTGAGCGCTGAATTAAATGGTCTTGTATTTTGACTATTGGTATTTCAACATCAGTAGAAACTCTGGAGCCTCGATGGTACCTGAAAAAAAAAAAAAAAAAAACATTCAGAAGTCATTTGGTTGGACCTGTATTCATTTTATGTGAAAGTATATGTGCTAAAACAATATAGCTATCCAGTTGCTCTAATAATAGTTGAAAACAAACCTCTGAAGTCACTCACTATGGAAGTGGTACTATCTTCTACCGGTCCCACCTCAGTATGCAGAAAATACAGACAGAAAATACAGAGATGAAAAGCTCTGTCTCCCATCACTGGCCCCTTGAGCCATCCAGTATCCCACAAATAGTTTGTTTTAAAGAAACAAAGCTTAATCATATTTATTACAAACAGAGTAAAATGTTTCTGATATCTGAAAGGCAAAGAAGATAATGTGGCCATTAGGGTTAGTCTTACTATATCCCAAGATGTCAACACGCTTGCCAAAAAATGAATTTATCAGCTCAGCATAGCCAAGAGATTTAGTTTATCTAAATGTCCTACAAGGAATAAATAGTTTACCACTGGTTTTGTAGATTGGGATAAATCTAACATTCTATTGACATATGCTATAGATTTAATTTAATGCTGTGGTTCAGATGTCTCTTCTGATAAATCTTAGTAAAACCTATGCTAAGAAGAATGGAGCTGTTTCAGTATTTATGGGATTTAAAATGCAGGGTTAGCAAAGGAAACGTTAATTGAAACAATATTTGTGTATGTTTTCGCAATGGTTTGGAAAAGAGTATTGCTGTAGTCTATTGGTCAGTTGGTGCTGAATACTTGAGGTGGAATATTGTTCATTTTTTGCTGCTTTTCTGTAGTGAGAAAATTGTCTAGTGAAGCAATTAAATATTTCAATTTCTATTTTTAGGCATATTGGAGATAACATCTGTAGAAATTGGAGTTGTGGCAGTTAAGTCCATCAAAAGCAACTATTATTTAGCTATGAACAAAAAAGGAAAAGTCTACGGCTCCGTAAGTACTTTCTTTTACCTTCTCAACAGATGGCAGTAGTCAGCATTCCTCCCCCTCTTACCTACTGAAAACCCTACTTGCCCATGTATGACTACTAAATAAAGCCCTTCATCAAAATTTCATCCTCTGGCAGTACCACATCCGTAAGTTCCCAGTACCAGGCATTTATCATGTGCCCTGCTTCAGTCACATTTCTTACTAATAGCTGATTAAGAAGGATCTACAAAATGTAATCGTTAAGACTAGATTTCCTTGTTTTTCTGTAGTACAACCACATTTATTAGACTGTACTATTCCAAAGGGATAACTTGTTCCCAAAATCTTGTAAAACTTCAGCTGATATCTAACCAGATTGTCTAACTATGAACGCTGAGATTTCTAGAGCAGCCAGCTATAGATTGACTATACCAGATGATATGCAAGTTTGTAGACAATACAAGGAGACAGATATTTTGACTGAGAACAATTTGGCTATTTAAAAATTGTCCATAAATTTGCATTTGTGCAAGTCTGGGTTAACTGATCTTTCCATTAGGAAAAAAAAATACTACCCAAATATTTTTAGCAGGAAGCAATATGTCCTATAATTCTGACTAGCAATCTCTAGTTTATACTCACATATCCACACAATAGAACAGATACCAGAACTGTGTTAAGAATAGAAAGGCCTGAACAGAGAAATTATTCTTTAGCTCCTATAAATGCAGATTTTAATTTGAAAAATTACACTAGTCTGAAGTACCAGATGATCAGTATCAGTCCTTGGCCGTTGATAGATGTAAAGGTATACTGAGCAGCTGACAAAGTTACCTTTTGTCAGTTAAGCTGACAAAAGTGCTACACTGGTCACAAGTGTGCTTCTGGACATGCAAAAAAGTGCTAGTTTAAATCACCATCATAAATTTGTATGTCTCTGTTTAACATAGTCATCTACGATGATCTATCCCAAACCCCCGATAAGTTTTCCTATTCAAGTTGTTAGCCACTGCTGGTGTGGTGAGAATTCATGCCAACCACACGCACAAAAAGAAAATAGAGCAGCTTTCATGTACCATAGGTAGAAACTGCTGCCAAAAGATTCAGTAATTCACAGTGTATTAGAAATAGTGCTGACAGGAGGATACGAATGTGGAAAGCCTTTTTTTTTAATTCCAACTGAGATAATTTTTCAATATTCACATCATAAAATCACAACATAATGACTTATCAAAACGTATTCCATAATACTTCAGAGATTTCAAGAATGCTTCTGTTATTATTTTTCCCATCCTCCCAAGACTCGCAGATAGACTTATATTACTACAGTGTGGCAGCTTGCAGATGGATATGAAAAACAGAACCAATAAAAATTTTAAAAACACTCTTAAGCATGTGCACAATAGACACTGGTGCAGGGCTATACTGAAATTCGTTTGAAATGAGCAAAGCAATTCTGGGCTAACACTCAGACCCCTGCCAATAATAATTCTTAGCCACTTCTCAACATCATCTGCTCTCTCTGTATTGTCTAAGAATAGAAACAAAAGTTTCGATTATAGTGGGATTCTGCATCTGAGAAAACAAGTCAAGACTCTGTCACTCTGTTTTATCAGTTTTCTCTGTTTATCAGATATGTTGCCATCTGACTGACTGGTTAGAACAAAGGAGACAAGGAAGATGAATTATTTGATTTATTTAACAAAATAACATTCTGGCAGATCATAAAAGTTATTGTGGATTTGAAATGTGATTGATAGTCATCTGCTTTCTTAATACCTTGACATGGGAGGTGGCATATTATTACTGCAAGTAAAAGTTAAAAAATCTGTATGTGGGTTTATGAATACAAAGAGCATTAATGGTTGTTTAAATAATTACTCATTCAAAAACTGAAAAACGTTTTGAGAGACAAATTGGATTTGAGTGTGCTCAGTTCTGTTAAGAAAATGTGTGTGCTTTGTGGTCTGAACAGCAACTAAGGAAGACATTAATGACAGACCAGAAAATGCCAATTATATCAAAGCACTGAACACTAACTAGTTTAACTTTTTTTAAATTTAAATTAATAGGAATGGAAATATGTATTTTTAATTATTCCTTATCCTATTTCACTTTAAACAGTGCAAGTCAGCCAAACAATGTCCATTTTATTAATGCAGATACTTTCCATATTTTTTAGCTCAGTAACTAAAGATTTTCATCATAATTAAAACATCCCTGAAATTCTCATCTGTTCCATAAAAAATGTTTCATTATTCAGATATATTTCTCATCTGGTTCATAAGTAACCTAATATTACATACAATTAATATATCATACTCTGAGATTATGATACACTTCTGTTTCTGTGAAATGGCATCTAGTTATCTGAAATGTATAAGAAATAAAAGGCCAGTTTTTGGTTGCAGTTTAACTATGTTGTGAATATTGCATTTTCAAAAGATTTCTGTAGAGAATATCAGTAATTATGTGATCTAACTTATTTATATGTAGTACTTGCTCATTTGTGAAAACAAAGCATTTTTATCTTTTCTTTGGAGAAGCAGATAAAAGTCCATTTAACATTCTAGAAAAAAAAGTTTGTCTTCCTCTACATGTTACCTTGTGCTTGTATTTTTCATCCTTTCTAGTTAAATAGCAACTAGATCTCCTTTAAAAATTAAAAAACATTAATTCCTACTACTCTGCCCAAAATTACTCTCAAGTTTACTTCAATATCTTCTCAACAAGACATAGGACTGTATATGAATCATAAAGGTTAGTAAATGAACCTTTTTTAGACTAAGCCCATCTTCAATTCACCAAAGTATATTGGCCTCACATCCAGTGTAATAGCAGTGCAACAGTGACTCATACTCATTAAAAAAGCCCTTTTTCATTGCCAGTGTGGTGTAAAGGATCTTGCTTTCAACAAGAAGTAGGTCTAAACCATGCATGTTTGTTTAACACATGGTATCAATAATCTGATTCAAGATATTTACGGGATGTATTTCTTAGAACTGGAGTATGATGAATAATTCCAAGATTGCTACCTCATACTTTGAGTTTATGACTGAGAATTTGATTAAATATTGTTATATTCCATTACAGAGAAGTTGCATTTCAACTCTAGGTGAATTATGTCATTTTATTGCTATAATTATGCACAACTGATCTTTTTTCCACTTTTTGCAATCTAAGTGCTGTTGATGTCAGTGGTATGTACGCAGTGAAATGTTACGTCTTTTCTAAAATGGTGTATTTGTTTTATTCTTTCAACAGAAGGAGTTTAATAGTGATTGCAAATTGAAGGAAAGAATAGAAGAAAATGGATACAATACATATGCATCCTTAAATTGGAAGCACAATGGAAGGCAAATGTTTGTTGCTCTGAATGGAAGGGGAGCCACAAAGAGGGGACAGAAAACAAGAAGAAAAAACACTTCAGCTCACTTTCTTCCAATGGTAGTAGTGTCATAGATGAAGGAACTATTTTATCAGTGCAGTTGAACCAAAGGCTCTTATGTCACTAATAATTGGTAATCTTCTTGAAGAATAATTGCAAAGAAATAGTGCAGACATCTGCTTGTTTGAAAAGAGCAGGGGAATCCTCTGAAGTTTTTGTACTAATTACTGGCAAATGAAGTACTTTTATTTAGTTCAGTGTTCTATCTTAAGAGCAAGATAGAAGCTGAATCAAAGGGGATATAAGTCATTGCCGGTGTGAACATTTTTTCTCTCTCTGCAACAGAACTTAAGGAATGTGAGACAATCTAATGAATGATCTTCGTGGGGAAAGTTATTTATGGAATACTAACTCATATAAAGACCTTAATTGCTCATTCAAGCCTATGAACAGTTAGACATGCAAGCATTTACTGGAAGCACTTGGGTCATATGCACAAATAAAGATGCTTCTGGAGAAGCCTTGTGGAAGAATGGATAGGGTTAAGAAATATAATCAAAGCAGTATCAAACTGTTCTAACAAAACGAATAGTATGGTTTGCTTGTATGTTCTAACTTCACTCCTTTTTATTTCTCTCTAAGTTATTTATTTAATAGGATGTTAAATATCTTTTTTTTATTTGAAATGTTTTCCTCATTTGCTTCTTTGTTGTTTTCCCTTTTTCTCAGTACTTCACAAAGGGTTGATAAGTTAAAATATCAGAACCTCGTAAGTACTGTGAGAATAGGTAATGGACAAGGCTTTAAAGGCAGAATTTAATGTGTATAATCCCTTTTTTTTTTTTTTTTTTTTTTCTAACTCTCTTGCACTTAAACAAAAGACCAAACATGCAGTGCTTGGATTAATGGTATTGTGTGTCTTTATGTTTGAGAGGTTTTCTTACTTATTAGCACTCAGAAACAAACTTCAAGAAATGCTTCAAAGGGACTTTCTGCTATTTTTAAACTGAGAGCAGGGGCCACCTCTGTACTTGGGTATCAATGTATCTGTGTGTATATTCATCTGACTTTGACTTCAGTGTGGAATTAAGAACAAATGCATGCATTGCAATCAGTAAGAAATCTTGTAGCAAGCACTGGGCTGGAACCTAGATGTGGACAGTCCTGTAAAAATCGCTGATAATTCCATTGTTAAAATTAAACAATATGAAATTTCCAAGAGTTAAATTTGGTCTTTGAAAGTTGAGATAGACACACCGTCCTTATTCAATTAATGTGGCCGTTCAGCACATTTGTCCTTGTTAACAGCTTGAAGAGTCACAGAAAAAGAGTGGGAGCAATACCTAAATAAGGACTGAGGGATAGGGAATCCAAAATCATGCTCGTGTATTTATCAGAGATTATTACTCACATGTATATTATATATGAGAGCCAACGAAAAAGCTGTGCTGGTATCCAGCTTTAGCATGCCTTTCCTATCCACCTTAGTCACTGAAGGCTCCAAATGCATAATATCCAGCACATTTTCATTAAGTGTTACTATTCCCATGGCTTAACTTGAGCAACTGCAGTATAACAAAACTAAGCATAATATGAAGTCTGTTCAATTAAAGGTACATAAGGTTTGTTTTATGTTTTGCTTTACTCTGTAATTTTATAGAGCTCTGGATAGCTCACCAATGTAACCATATTGAGATTCATTTTGTTAGAGCAGATAAATAGAAAACAATACAACAAATAATTTGTACCACTGTCTTCACATTGTATTCCACTAAATAAATAATTAAGCCTTTGCAGTGTCTGTAGTAAGAAACAGAAGTAGTATAATATTATTTTGTTCTAAATACTTTTAAGTGATAACTATGAGATTATATTGATGATGCAGTTTTATCTTCAATATTTCTTGTTGTGAAAAAGTCAGTTTTATTTTTATTGTTTGGAAACTGTATTTTGGTACAAAGGAGAGCCTTGCTTAATGTTTCTTTTTGAGAATGTTTAATCTCTATAAAGGCTGGTGTTGTTGGAATCTTCTCTAAGTTATTTAAGTCGATGTTTAACCAGCACTTCAATCTTAATCTGTTATTTAAGTATTAGCTGTTAAAAAAAAAAAAAAAAAAAAAAAATGCTTTCCCATGAAAATACAATGTGGTCAGACTGTATTTCCTGTCTTTAAATAAAGTTAACTCTTTTAAAACCAGAAAGTAATTCGAGACACAACATTCTAACTGATAGCTAACATTACATTTCATGGTTCTTTGTCTCCAGCTTGCTTCTTCACAAATGAGGTTTTCTAGAAACAGAAATAAGAATTTCAGATTTTAAATGTAATTCCAGGTGATCAGCAAAACTTAATCACCATAATAAATGTGGGTCTCTGCTGTTAAAAATTTGTAATCAATAACTAGAACTGACAAGACATAGTGGACCACCCACAGTGAATGTTCAGTGTTAGCCTGGGCAAATGCAGTATTGGATTACTACTTAAAGAACATTTAGGGTACAAATGAGGTTCTCTTGACAGAATTACCTGGTTTATATGATCTGGGGAGGGTTTGGCATAAATATTATCGTAGTACTCAAAACACTATGCTGCTCAGAGGCCAAAATTGGGAAAAATATCACTTTTCCAAAGTGAGTCAGGAGCCATTTCTGACATGAATTTCTTAGAATGAACCATAACAAAATGTCCTTGAAGGAAACAATGATTCCTGCATGATTAACATACTGTAATACCCACTGGTGGTGGGAGGGGAGCAAACTGCAGACCTTTTTTCTAGAGTTTCACAGTTCCTCAACCATATCCTCTGTTCTCTGTCAGACAGACTCTTGAGGAGGAGAGATTTAAAAAAGAAAAGAAAAACAAAAATCACTGAGCAACAATGTATTGCATGTTATAGTTAAATAAAAGTAATAAAATATGGGGAATAGAGAATAAGACTATTGTCTTTGTTTTATTAACGTGAATTGATACTGCAAAATACATATAAAAAGGGAAAAGATACGTTGTACTAGAGGATGTGGTTTGCTTCTATATAGCACTGAAACAAAACAAAAATCACTAGGACATTTATAAAGTTTCTTTAATTCTTTGCATGTGTAAGTCAGCTATCTCCACACTAATAACAACCAAATGCTTTAGATTCTTCCCATAAGTATTCAGATTCACCTAGTTTATTCAGTGGAAAAAATAGTGAATTTAAAGCAAGGACTTTTGATGAAAGAATGGTGGGTCTTAAGAAGAAGAATGAGTACTTACACTTTTAAAATAAACTTTGGAGAAGGAAAAACAGTTGCATTTTATGTAAGTCTTCATTCAAGGCATTCCAGGTTATAAAGTTCTCTAGAGGTTAGTAAACTTAACTAATACAAGTTGGCGAGTCAACATTTGTAATCCATGCCTCTGCTGAAACTGATTATCTGTGTTCACACAATGTCATAGCTGCTTCAAGGGCTGATCTTGAAACTAATGCATATTTTGAAGTGTCATTTTTTGCTCTCTTAAATTAGATTGTGTGGCAGTATTCATACTCCTAATTTCCAATTCACTTGGAGTGAGAATACATTAACACAAAAAAACATGTTCTGCTACAGTTAGTCCATGTATGATTGTTATAGAATAATAAAAGGTGGAAAAGATGTCTGAAATCATCTAGTTCATCCATCAACCCAGCAGCACCAATGTTGCCCACTAAACCTTGTCCCTAAGTGGTGCATGAGTGCATTCCTTGAACACATCCAGCATCAGTGACTTCACCACCTCCCCAGACAGTTCACTCCAATGCTTCACCACTCTTTAAGAGAATAAATTTTTCCTGATATCCAACCTGAGCCTCCACTGGTGCAACTTGAGGCCATTCCCCCTCATCTTGTCACTAGTTACCTGGGAGAAGAGGCCAACCCCCATCTCACTACAACCTTCTTTCAAATCATTGTAGAGACTATAAGGTATCCGCTGAGCCTCCTCTTCTCCAGACTAAGCAATCTCAGTTCCCTCAGCCGCTCCTCATAAAACTTGTACTCCAGACCCCTCAGCAGCTTTGTTGCCCTAATTGACTGAAACCATTTCAGTGCAACCACAAATAACAGAAAAACACATGCAAAGTTATTTTCCCATCACAGTATGAGCAAGAAATGGAATATGAAAAATTATTTTGTTTTGCACCTATCAGATTAAGATTTACAGCTATGTCTTCCCACTCAAAGTATTTGAATCTCATTTTTAACTATATGGGAGCCTTCTCAGACTATTTTTTGGGATTAAGTATCTACTACTGGCATTTTCCAATGAAGCACAGTGAATCTCACGTATTTGGCTGATGTCTTTTCACTCACTAATCCCAGAAAAAACACATGCTGTGTCCTTTGCTCAAAGCAGCAATGTAAAGAAAACATGCCACTGTGAAAGGAAAAATAAAGAAACAATGACTAAGCCTCAAGTAAGTGATTAGGAAACAGTGATCTTTAGGTTATAGCAGTTTAAATGAAGAGAATTTGGACTCCTGAAATTCCCTACCAGAACTTCTAAGCAATGCCATACAGTGACAACTCTAAAGCAAAATACTAACCACACACTTGAATAAATAGATATGCTGATGGAAATGTCCTGCTAGTCCATTGTCAAAATATGAGGCTATGTGCATCAAAGTTCATGAAGGAAAAAAAAAACAAAACAACACAGGTATCATTCTAGTGCATATTTCTGAAATAGTGAAATGACACTAATAGACAACATGGTTTAGTAGAAAAGCAGAATCTATTATTTCATCAAAGCTTATACTCTATATCTTGAGATAATGCAGTAAAAGAAGAATCAGAATACTACAGCTTCTTTATTACTACTGCAGTAAAATGTGTTTGTGGCTTCACTGGGCTTCAGTGTAGCCAAGATCCATTCAAGATCCAAATGTACTATTCCCCCATCCAAACTACTCTGACATGATTTAAATAATGTTATATGATTTTTATATATATATATATTTTTTTTTTTTGGATGATGAGTCTGTTTTGCTAGTTGCTAGAATAACTTCTTTAACTCTTTCCTCCAATAACAGTTTCCAGAGAAATCTGAGAAAAGGCAAACACTGGTCTACACCTGAATCTGCAATTTTGTCAAGCTGTAAACAACTAAACAAGCAGATTTCCATTCAGTGCACAATATACAGGAACCTGCATTATTCAATGAGGTGTATGTGAGTGGGAAGAAACACAGCAAACTCAAAATGTTCTTTCATTTGCTTACACACATTTTTTCTGCTGCCCAGCTCTCAGGGGTCTACAGACAAAGTTTATCATTCTTTGAAAACTGTCCTGGAACAAGCCATTCATGGCAATCCAAATGTTTTGAGCTTCTAGTTTCAGTATGCTTCAGATATATTAAGAGCCTAAAAAAATCTAACTTGTTTATACTTAATTACAGAAAGACCAGTCTAGGAACAGTATAATCTTGCAAAGAGTCAAAAAGTACCTTCTAGATGTTGCAGCCAACACTCTGAGATCTTCCAAGCAATACTTCTAACAGAATTCTGATTCACTCAAGAAATGGGGAACAGAAGAAAAATGATATCATTATTGTTACTTACATTCTTCATTGCTTTCTTAACTGTTCTAAATACATGACCTATGCTAGTTTTTTACTAGATCTTACTTCAGTAAGTTACACAGTATAGAGATCTCAGCATTCTTATAAAAGAAGGGTCCTGGTTTGGGTCCTGAAGTCATTGCATTTCTCATTGTTAGAATACAGAAGTGTACTTCAAGGAAATACAAAAAAAGTTACTTGATTTCTGTGCTCTTACCATACACTCACCATTTGAAACAGAATATTTTACATGATAGTTTTTATTCTGACATAGTATGATTCTTACACTTCATTTGCTATCCTAGCCATCCCATTCCAACTTTCAGACTCTCAAAAATACCCACCTAACCACTGCTCTTATGCAGATGAACACAGTACTGCTCATGCCAGCACTGTTCAGACTAACTGTAGCTATATAATTCATTTGTGAAATGTAGACACAGTATACACCCCAGAAAGCCAGATCCTCACCCTCTACTCTCCATGTAATATCAATGTCCAAGAAAAGCAGAATACAATGGCACTATACTAGATATAATGAAACATTTTTACATAGAATAATAAATAGGTCACTTCAAAAGTATTTTTTTCCTATTTATTTCTATGGAAACTACAGCTGATACAAAGAGCACAATAACAGTATTTGATAGAGCAAAATCTCAGCTAAAAAACACTATTTTACAACATAGTCACCACCACTAGCTATGCATTTTCATCAGCATTGAGCAAGAGTCTGCATGCTGCACTCCTAAAAATCCTCACGAGTGGAGGAGACACACTGTTGTTGTCACTACTACTCAAATGTGTAGTGCACTTCCTCACTGTGCTCACTTCCACTATTCAGCCTCCATAAATGTTCAGCAATTGTTGATGGATGTCTGTGGGTGCCATTTTTCCCACTTGAAGAAATTCAGGGACACACCTTTGCTTCATGTGCACTTCCATGTCAGATACCAGTCTGTTGAACTTCCCCTCTACTACTGTCTGTCACATGGCAACAGAATATAATAGGATATTGGTGGGAAAATTCGACTTCTACTGACATACTGTCAACATCCACTTCTGACATTGTTGGCCAACATCATAAAATAAAAGGTATTACTTTCAAAGAAGCCCTTGTAAATTGAACTGCTGTGAAAGAGGAATGCAGTAACCAATTCTGCAAAATAATCCTGGGCTGCTAATACTAAAGTCTGAGCTCTTCCAGAAGCCACAATACTTATGACAACATTGACATACCTTCTAGTATATACAGACATCATCTGATTTTGAGGTAAAATCTATTTTGGAGGAAGCCATTCACTTTCCAGAATAATTAGATTTGTTCCTCAAGTATGTAGAGACTGTTTAAAACCCAAGGTGTTTATTTTGATACCAATCCAATTGGGTTACTCTCTTATTTTGCAGAATGCTCAATGCTGAATGGATGCCATAGTAACTACTCTATAACATATATGGATATGAAATGATTTTGCAGATAGGAAAGGCTTCTTATTTAAGAACAAAATGATTGAACTGAAGCAAGGGAAATTAAAGTTTATTTGCAAAAAAACAACAAAAAAAAATCCTAATACTAGTGGCTCTGAAGAAAATTAATTTGGAAAATTTTGCAACTTCCTTTCAGAGTTTTAAGCACATAAGAGTCATCAGAGATGGCTTAGGTTGTTGATTCTACCATAGGCAGGAGGATGGACTGTCACTATTCCAAGATCTCTACAGTAATATTTTTCCTAATTCTGTGAAGCTAAATCTATATAAAACAGTAAAAATAGTAGACAGTCAGATGCAGCTTAATTCTACACTCAGAAACAGCAGGCTCAAGCTTAAACCTGTAATAAATGTGTAGAGATCTTATTAAAAGTTCCCGCAGCCTTTATAGTTCTTCTCAACCCAGGCCTTTCTATGATTCTACGACTAAAAGCAGTCCAAGTGCAAAGTTTTTCAGCAAAAACTCACCCAGGAAACAATTGCAAGTTGATATTACAGAGAGACTCTGTCTGGGTCTGACTCAAGCCTCAATCACACACTGATTGCAGGAAGCACGACTGACCTGGGCAGTTACACCACGCAAAGGTCAATATCCGTATCCTTTGGATGTTTGGTAACATGCACAAAAAATACCCACATGATTTTCACAGATAATTATTAAAGTTTTCTGGGGTCCTTAAAAGAATAATGCCACAATGAATAAATCTCTTCATTACCCCATTCATCAAAATGTACTCTGCCCTAATATCTGTTTGCTAGTGATGCTGCCCAAGAACATCTACATATTTCACCTACCAGTAACAGAAATATAAATTAACCAGTAATTAAGTTTGTTCTTTTAATACAAAACTTTGGTGAGTTGACAGTATAATAAGTAATGGCACTCATTTCATGTATATTTTCTTATGCTCATTTTAAGTAAGTGTGGTAACTATGAAATGATGGAACGACCCTGCGCTATTTACAGTGGGGAAAGCTCAGCCAGTCACAGTTTCTTCTTCTTGTATTCTTTGTCATCACTTTATGTAAACTCTAAAAAATAAAGGATTGTGCTAGGGAAGAGAGAAATATACAGCTCTCTCTTGTTTAAGAGAATACCATTTTGTTACTACCTAATCTCTGGAAGTGCTGCAAAGGTTCAGAATAATTAAAATACAGGAAGAAGATGATGGAATTAGTCTTCAAGCTAACTGTATGTACAACAAGGCATGGATGTACCATAAAATACAGCATGCTACACTCCATACTCAAACTCCATTTTCTTAAATTAATGCTATGCTATTATGTGTAAGATGTACAACTATTTTTACCCCACAGTCATAAATACCACACACATATACA